TAAGAAAATCAAATATTAACAAAATTGTAATTTCACCTCTAATAACTTCAAATCAAAACCTGAAAAACAATTAGAGGGTCTTATTGTTTCAACAAATTAATGGGCTTCCAAGTATCCAGGGTTGAGTACATAACATATCATCCAAGAAGAAAAGAAAAATATTTGTGAAAACAGGTGGATGTTCGTTGAAGTGGTGGATGAAGATGGTGAAGGAGGCAGGAGGGAGTGTAGGACGGTAGGAGTTCCGAGTACTTGCTAGTTGCTTCGTCCTCCTTGCTATTTTTTTTTTTTTTTTTTCTTTCATCAGATCTATTAGTGCCGCCTCTTGTCATTGGGAGGAATATGGGAAGTGAATTGAGTCTAGGGTTTACAACATGTGTATATATAGTGTAGGTTAATTTGGTAAATATAATAATATGTTAGGTGTAAATTAATAATTTTATATACCAGTCGGGGGCAGTTACGGGGCGAGTTTGGGGCGAGGATTGGACTCCCCCGTCCCCACCCCGAAACCGGCCGAATTTTTTTTTTTTTTAAATCCCCATCCCCACCCCATTTAACTAAACGATTCTTCAAACCCGTTGTAAACGGGACGGGGATGGGGCGGTTCCCCACCCGGTTGGGGATTTTTGTCATCCCTAAAAAAAAAAAAAATAAATAAATAAACTCTAATGTCTAGGTGTCACAGGGGTAAATTCTGAACACGAATCTAGTGCCCTGTAATGACACTAAGCGAGAAATATGAACAACTTTTCTCTGAATTTCTAACTTAACTCAGCCAACTCACACTTGCTGCCTAAAACACACAGCAAGTAAAACACTCTCACAAACAAGTATAGTTGCAAGAATGTAAAGACAATAACACCCACGAATTTACAGAAGCATAAGGCTTTTAACCTTTTACTATTATTCACAAAACAGTACAAGGAAATGCCTCAATCTGCAGAAGCATACAAGAGTCTCTCACAACACAACTCTGTGTCTCACTCTCAATCTGCCCTCTCTACAGAACCCACATTAGCAATATTTAGGCAAACTCTCAAAACCGCCCACTAAAGTGGTGGATGACACCTCCATCCACCCACAACTACCTACTAAAGTGGTGGATGACACCCCTATCCACCTAAGGTCATGTTGGCACCCACTAAGTGTGCCAACACTACATATGTAGTTGACAAGCCCAACTACTAGCTTGTTGCCACGCTCTGCTCATGCCACTTGTTCACAGGAAGTTGCACTCAGCATAGTGAAAGAAACCACTTCCAACCGCCTGTGTGTTGTCCTCTCAAATCTGTGCCACATGGATGAGAAGTTATTCAACACACTCCCACTCCCCACATGAGTGGGAAGTGCTAGTAACTTCCCCCAACCAACTGAGCCCACTTAGTGAGAAGTGTTAGTAACTTCCCCCGACCAACTAAGCCCATTTAGTGGGAAGTGTAACTTCCCCAACCACCTGAGCCCACTTAGCCATCTTCTGTAACCATAAGCCATGTCTGAGTCCCCTGAGCCAACCTTGCACACTGAGCCTTGCCTACGCCCACTGCCTTGTGCCCATGTCCCTGACTTGACTATGCCACACGTCCATGACTTGTGTGGTCCATACTTTAAGCAATATCTGAGCCAACCTTGTGAACTTAGCCCGTGCCAAGCCCACTAATCTGCATCCACATATAAATGTCTCAAAGTGCACGACATCCAAATCGAGTGCCGTCTGTGCCAACCATCTTCTATGGACTCAAGGTACCTCCCATAAAGATCCTGAGCCAAAACTCCAAGCTTTACTTTTCGCCATATTTACGAAAATGCCACTAGGCACTCCCAATGCACGCTGATAGCATTCCATGGCTGTCAAGGGGCTTGTCAAGGTCCCAATCTATATCTAGCACCCTTCGTTTGAACGTACCTCCATTCACACCACCAAACGAAACGACACCGCTTGGGGTGATTTTAGGTGGAAACTTAAACGCTATACAGTATGAAACGACTCCGCTTGGGGTGTTCCAAACACTGTACTATCAGGGGAAATAATAAAATTTATTGTACAATCAAAATGGTATTTAAATGTAAGGAAATAAGTTTCTATGTAGGAACCATCTCATTCTCTGCCTTTGTATTGGGCGAAATTAATCAATTTCGTAAAAAATGCGAATATCTTTAGGGAGGATAGCGAATTCGTTGCCCTTTTCCAGAGTCTTCAGGTACTCCTCTCTGTTTCTCTCTCTATGTGTGTGTGTATGTATTTGTGTGTTTATACAGAATATTTACACAGATAACGAGCTTTTCTGACTGTTCACGATAGCCATTAGTCATTGATACGGTCCGTGTGAAATCAATTTTATTTGTGTGAAATTAAAAAATGATCTCTTTCTGTTTTAATCAGTTTGTTAGGGTTTATGATTAGTGTGGATTTGTAAGTACTTATCTCTATATACATATATATAAAATGGTGAGAAAGATTGTATCGTTATGAATCAGTGACATGCTATATTTTCGAATTTTTGTGTGTGTATGTAAGTATAAATTGCTCGCAGGAAATTTAATTGAATATGCATTGATTCAACATGTGTTATATTGTCCATGTAATTTAATTAAATAATTAATTAGAAAATTTAAAATCTCATAAATTGCAAAACAGAAATAGAGCATCAATCCTGAATAAAAATTAGATTTTAGTTGTGGAAAAAAGAAAAATAAAAAAGAATCTTTATAAACTACCCTGAGAAGCTTTTTGATTGAACATTTTCGTTTGTTACAATATTCTTGCAATCTATAGCTCGTGACTCGTCAAATTCAGGTTTCTTAAAATGCAATAAGGGATAGAAAGTGTTAGTGTTGCAAGCTTTAAGATATTTAATTTGTATCAGAAATATGCTCTCAATTGTTTTGTTATTCTAATATAAGGATAAAAAAGAATTTGGGCATCTTAAAGATGATTTTGTTGTTGTCGTTGGTGGTGGTGGTGGTGGAAGAAAATAAGCAATGAGATTCCAAACTAATCATATTATGAAGAGTGTTGCTATTTGCATCCAGGGGTTTCAGATGCTTCGGCCCTTGTAATAGGCAACTTATTTCGGTGCATAAATTATTATATACTATTCTAACTTTTACACAAGCTACATTTGGAAGCAACGAATCCACTCCTCCAATTTCAAAGCGCAAATTTGATATCCCAAATGCAACATAAGCGTTATCAATAATTGGACTCACCAATTTCTCCCTTGTAGTTAGGAGTTGACAAATGTGATTCTAACATGTTAATACTTTAATAACTTCTCAATGGATAATTCAGAACAACTTCTCAGGATCCTTAAAAGTGGAGATCATCTTCACCAAGTTGTGTATGCTTTGCATTTTGATATGAAGAATTGGAGGTTAGGTTAAGCTAGCTCATTTTCTGTTCTTTAGGTGCTGGGTTGGTTTTTCCCTTTTGTGTTTGCGCATGCACAAGTGTTTTTCTTTCTTTTGTTGATCTGTTTGGTGTTCTCTTGATCCTTTTCGTCTGTATGGTCATGAAGATAAAGTTCCTTTCAATTAGTTACAAGTTCTACGTCCTTCAAATTCATATGTTCATTTTGACGCTGCCTTTAACTGCTGTTTCTTCTTTCACAGGCAGGTGGAGTGGGAGATGGAGACTGTGATCAATGTACTGCAACCTGGACCTCTAGGAATCATAGAACACAAGTTTTCTGCTGAGGAGATACAAAACGCGAATGCTGCTGTTAAGAGAGCTGTGGAGAATTGGCGAAGGAATTCAAACATAGAGCAGAGTAGCCCCGTCTAGAAAGATTATGTTGATAACTGACATTAGAACACGCTGGTCGCTACATTTTTCACGGACGAAGAAAGATCCTATACAAAATGTAAGCTCCTCACAATTTCATTATGGTGTTAAAGCATTGATTTATAGTAAATACATACAAAACTATTATGATTCTGTGGTTATTTTTTCAATTCTGATGTTTCATGATGGAAGAAATGCTTTTGAATATAATTTTAGTGTCCCATGTAGTCTCCCATAATGCAGGTCCTCGTGGGAGGGGGATTCCACTTTATCAAATTAAACAATTTGTGGCTGATATAATTTTTTTAAAGGCTAAATTAGAATTACACCCCTAAAGTGAGGCTTAATTATGGGAAGGTGAGAAGGGTAAACCTACACTAGCCCTGTCAGCATTTGTCTCAGTTACAACAAAAAATTATAAGCAAAATGACTTAACTACCCTTCAGCCACCCCTTCACCCTATCTATGTTGACAGTTCTATTCATTTAGTACCGTTCACTTTTCTAGTTGCTTCATATTGGTTCGGTTCCTACTCTTTTTCTTAAAACTAAATTTTCTGCTTTGTAGCCACATGTTCCTTTTACAGCACCGGATCTTTTCTTTCACAAAATGTGTATAAAATTTAAATGCAATGAGTAGAATTTAGTGTCAAAATTCTATAAAAACCTTTGTGGTGCATTTGGAGTCTTTTTGGGACTTGCCGATTGATGGACTTTATGAAGTCTGGGTGGTAAAAATAATTGAAATAGGAGATGGGGCGAAATATGGTGTTGACATGTCTGTTTTGCATGCATTGTCTCTCTTTTTTTTTTGGCAAGGTAAGTGAGTTTTATAGATAGGCTGTACAAAGAAAGACAAAAAATGCAACAGAAACCAACATAAATGATGATTTACAACAATCTTAAAAGCAAAGGTATGGTACATGTTGAATACAATCACTGAAGAGACTCATTTCGAGGGAAAACTAGAAGTAAACACAGTTGTTGAAACAATCATGAGGTTTTCTTGTAGGCCTAATTTAGGAGCTGGGGAGGAGCCATGCTGCAGTAATTTCTTGAGCAAATTTACTGGTCTTTAAGGGAGGAAGAACTGGGCCTTAATTTGATGAAATCAATAATGGATTTGACCAAAGGCCGCAGGGAGGATTACATGCTTCTAAAATTTGTATTGTTTCTTTCTAACCAAATGGTATGGAAACAAGCAGCAAGGGTCAGTCTCAGAAAGAAAAGAGAGAGAAGTCCCCTAATTGGAGGAAGTCCATTAGATGAGGAACTACCAGCTACAAGAAAGAATGTGGAAGTTACAGATATACAGATATGTAGATATGTTGAAAATAACACCATGCAAAGCTAGAGAAGGGACAATGAAAAAATAGATGTGAGTGAGATTACTTGTCAGAGAGGCGAAGAATACAGGCATTTGGAATTAAAAAATGAGACACACGGCTTGCCAATGGTAAGGAAGCTTTTCAAAGACTGCCAACCATAAAAGGAACTTGTGTTTGGAAATGTGGGGAATAAATTATACAATATGAATTGAAAGAGGGGCCAGAAGAGGAGAGGAAACAAATTGAAGAGTGTGAGCTAGGAAAATGATGGAGAGAGGGAAGACAGCCAAAGGATAGAGTCGGAATTGAGAGGATGAATGGAAGGAAGGAGAGAAGTATTTCTCAAGTCTGGGATAATTCTAGTTTGACAAAAAGGAATTGATCATGTCCATTTTGAATGAGGGAGTTCGCAGTTGCGTATCTACCAAGTAGATGTGCTCATGCTAGAGGAGTTGGAGATTCTAGAATGGTAAGGATCAATTTCATTTCATGAATCAAACCGGAAGGTGTTTAGTTCATTACCAGAGAATTGATAGAGACAAAAGGTCTTGCTAAAGCCCTTAGTTATAGTAGCTTCTTCCAAGTCAAAGAACAACCACTTGATATTCCAGAAATTACTCTTTCAAATGAGATTAGTTTGAATCCATTTGGGCCACAAATTATGTTGAAATTTAAAGAAACTCTGCATGTATTTTAGCATGGTTGCTCTTGTCAACAAAGATAGGTTATGCATGGCTAAACCACCCTTGTGTTTTGGGGAGAGAAATTTTAATCCAAACTATTTTGGAGTCAACTCTGCTTGATTCTGAGCTAGTCTATGAAATAAGTAGTTGATTTGTGATATGTTAGGGGTAGTTGTATGCTGAAGGCATTCATCCAATAAAGCTGTATGCTGAAGAGAATGGATTTGGATAGTTGCAATTTACCAACACAGGACAGAAATTTACTAGACGGTGTCTAATTTTGCTTGTGATCCTTTCCGCCAGACGTATGCAATCAGTAGAGGCGAGTTTGGTGGATATTAGTGGCACTCCAAGGTCTTTGTCACTCAATTGGAGGCTTTCTGGACTCCATAGAAGGAAACTTGACTCTTTGCTTCTAGAAAGCAAACCTGACTCTTTGCAGTGTTTGCAGAGAGGCCAGATAGCTTACAGAACGAATCAGGGCCTACATTTGGTACAGATATAGAACTAATATCTTCCTGAGTAACTTTAGCAAATTATTATAAAAAGTAAGGTGGGATAGTCCAAGATTTCTGCATCTTCAATGATGGTTGAAATTAGGGTTGCTAGGGTTGAGTTCGGTGAGAAATTGAGAGAGTACATCCATTGAAAAACAAATAGGAATGGAAACAGCGAGTCAACGAGCCACCTTGTCTACGGCTTCTAGCATCCTTAAAAAAATTCATGTATTTAGTTCACCATTCCAACCTAGTTTAGGAAGGGGGAAGGAAAACCCATGATCTCTGTTACATTAAGAAGGAAGCCTCAACCTAGTGAATCAAAACCTTCTCAAGATTAACTTGATTACACATTTGGGGAGAGTGGAGTGTCTTTGATTGGCTCTAAGAAGCTTCTGAACAAAGAATATACATATTTTGGCAAGCACATGCAAATAATGAAAACGTACAGAGGATCATGCATAGTTGTTATCTCTTCCTCCTTTCAAAAGAAAGGTTAACTGTTTTAGTCTGTAATGACCGTTAACGAGTGTGTTACCTACCAAATAAAAATATTAATATTAATATTAATAAAATACATGCACCAACTATCATTTTATTTAGTACGTACTCCATAAGACAAAATGAAAGTTCATATAAAAGCTGAGTAAGTAGTCATGAACTCAATTGGTAAAACTATTCAATGACCATTACTCATATTACAAATATTCTCATTGTTTCGTTATTTATATATGATTAATTCCACACCCAAATAGCTCCAGCGTCAATTAGCTTTTGGGCTAGTTGGCCCCTGACATGGAGGCTTGTCACCTCTCTGGCGCTGCCGACCAACTCCTGCCCTATGAACACAGCAGGTAAACTCGATCTTCTTCCCAGCTCCCTTTCGATTTGCTGTCCGTCTGGATGCTCGTTGAGCTTGTAAATGATAGGGTTCGCCCCAAAACTGCATATCAGTTGCTTAATGGAGTGGCAAATACAGCATGAGCTTTTGCTGAAAATGACCACAGGATTTTGTCCAACCAAGCTCTCCAATGTAGCCATCTCTAGAAATGATTAGGAATAAGAAGATTTTGGCAAAATGATGAAGTGTGTGTCAACAAGGGAGTGATCTAGAGAGAGAGAGAGGAGCAATATGAGATCTATGAGGCTTGGGATGAGCTAAGACTTTGCTTTGAAGAACATGAGAGGTCTCATGAGGTTATTTATAGGCCTAGGGATAGTGGTTTAGACTACTTAGCAGATAAAAAACAGCAAAAAACGAAAAAGTAAAAATGTTCCAAAAGTGTATTGTATTCCAAAATATTTTTTTGATGATTGTTTGATAGAGACCTGAAATAATAAGTTGTACACGAGTAGGGTTGTAACAAGTTGTGCATGGGTAGAATTGTACATAACTTTTTTTATTATATAAAAAAAGTTATTGCACATCTTTTATGTGTATATATATATATATATATTCAATGGAGGACTTTTTAATAGGACCAATATGAAGCATCTGATGAGGTGGAGAAAGATAGTAGGGCATCTAATTCAAATTTGGGAATACCGAAAGCTAATAGAATGAGAAGGAACAATATATATGGAAGTAAAAGATGCTTATAAGAGGTAACTTTTCCTCAAGAGGAAGCTTAGAAAATAATAATAATCCATACAAGGGGAAGAAGATTATACATTAGGGACCTAAGTAAGAGAAGCTGGAGAGATATTCTCTCCATACATATAAAATCACATGTTAATAATGTTATTAGTGGAACAATGTGAGCAAATTCAAATTATAGGATGATTTGTTAGAGGAGGTGTAAGAAAAAGTTCGTCTACCCTCATCAGCAGCATAATGTTGCGTTGTTTAATTTTTTTGTATTCCTTTTGAACTGTGTTCTTGAGTGCTTGTTTATCTTCAATTCTCTTCTTGTTCCCCATCTACTGAACTCTTCATATGTACATTTGTGAGCGTGTGTTTAATTGATCCTCGTGGCTTGCGAACGATTGTGTTTAATTGATGCTCGTGCATCTTGAGTTTGTAAAAAGGTTGATGTGACTAGAGGATAGTTTTTTTTTTTTTTTGAGACTTGAACCTCTGACCTCACTTTAGAAAGTAACAGACTGATATTGTTAAGTCACTGGCCGTTGGTGGAAATAGAAGAAAAAATAAAATCATACCGGTTGTCGTAATAATTTTGTTTACTTACATTTGGAATTAAGGACCCTTTTATTAAAAAAGCAAAATAGTAAGATTGTTGAATTCTCTAGATCACATTTTATTGGGCAGAAAAAGAGCGAGACCATCAATAAATTCACTTTCTTATTTATTTATTTTTTTTTATACATTTCCTCACCAATATTTGGAATGATGGTTATTGCATCTCATATTTCTGTTTGGTGATAACCTTCTATATATTTAAAAGGTGTACTTATGTAATGTGACTTCCAGGAACCACTTATCTGCAACCCAGGAGAAAAAGGCATGTGATCTAAAGCTTGTGTTATATATATATATATATGATATTGCATAAATAGCTCAAGATAATGCGATGGGTCATGATTATGTAATAATTTCTTGTGTCGCGGTGGTACCCATTTACAGTGGTGGTGGATCCATGTTATGTCCATCGGGTGTAATTATTATTATTTTTTTAATTCTTAATTTTTATATAAATATTTTAATAATTATAAAAATGCCCCCACTAAACCTCAAAAAAATTCACAAATGATCTTAAGAAAACTTTCAAAATTAAAAAAGACCTCTAATTTAATAATTCATTGGCCCAACATAATTTTTAAAATTCAGAAGAAAAAAAAACCAAGTCTTTTCTCTTCCAGTAGGTCATAGAAAAATTTTAAGAATTAAAATTTTGAAAAGACTCCTCTCCTTTACTATTTATTAATTTGGTTCAACTCTTTTTTTTTTTTTTTTTTTTTTTCAATCATTGCCCCATCTAGAGTAAATTCTTGGCTCCGCAGCTGCCCATCTAGTATTGGTCCTTATTTTTTTCATAAATGGTGTTGTATTGATGAAAAATAGAATAATTACAGGTGCACAGAGGGCATATACCCTAATATTACAATGCAACACTGGGAAAAAATTGGAATACTATAATATCATGTTGTAAAGATAGAGCCCACTTCCAATACATAGCAGACTTCAGAAATCTGGATTTACAGAAGATCTTGCAAAGAAGTAAGATGGACATCAAAAATCTCCAACAACAACAAAGTCCTATGAAGCCTGAAATTTCTCTCTCCAAATAAACCCACAAGCTCCAGCAAATAGAGTTCTTAGAATCTTAGAATCATGATATCTTTGATCACACCAATGGTATATGTCCCAAACAGTCTGCATATTTGCAAACTGCAACATGTCCCAGTGAAGAACATAACCTAACTATAACCAAAATTGATGGGAAAAGCTGCAAGTAACAAATAAATGGTCTTTGGTATCAATACTTCAATTACAGAGAGTACATCTAGAGGCCAACATCACCTTCCTTCTCTGTAGATTCACCATTGACGGAATTCTGTCCTCATCACAAAAATAGCTGTAGAAGACCACCTTGGCCTTGCCCTGCCTTGCCCCAGTACAAATGATGCCACTGCACCTCTTCAAAAGCAGTTCTACTACTTTGCCATACTCTCTTAAAAGTGTACCTTCCACCTTCTCACAACAATTTATCATCATTGGAATGAATCTGCATGGTGGTAACTGTTAGTTGTCCGTAGCGGAATGTTTAGAAAGTTTTGATTATTTTGAAAATAGATCTTGTGTTTTTCTAACTTTCTTTATTTTAGTAATTAAACAATTAATCACATGCAGATAAAATAAAGCAAAGTAAAAGTTAGAGATGACACCAGAATTTTTAGCGAGGAAACCCCAATTTATAAAATACATTAACTGTTTGCGCGGAAAAAATATCGTGAACTGTAAAGTCCAAAGTAAACCGATCCATTATGTTTGAAACAAAGTATACTGAATTTTGACTCTGACCGTTCTACCAAACACCAATTGTTGACAATCCTCTGGCTTTGTGACTCCCCGTTCAATAGTAACTTGACCTCAGGCTTATACTTGATCTTTGTAGAAGAGTAGCAGGTAGATTAGACAACACTCCATGAGTGCTCCAACCCTTCAAAATGTGATCGCTTTTACTTCTATTCTTCAATCATTTGAATTCGATGTAGAAGTAGATCTGCTTTTGTCTGATTGATGTAGATGAACTGTATGATCACGATCAGAATTCGAACAACACAACTCTGAAATCACTATGTGAATATGTGATAGTTCTAGAAAGACTAAAAGAAAAATCTTTAAGATTTACTGAAACAAAAATCTTTCTAAGGCTTTAAAAATAATAAATTGATAATGCAAAAACTGTGAATGAACTTATGTGTATGACAAGGTTTATATTCATTATAGAATGACCTAATCTCTCTGAAAATATAAAAAAATTCATGCATAGGATTTGGTACAATTCATGAACAAGTAGGAAAGAATTTTGGAAAAGGTAACTGAAAGTAGATTGCTGTCGGGACACCTTGAACTAGTTCAAGTTTGGCAGTTGGTTATTTCGAAAACAACTTGAAGCCTTGAACTGGTTCAGAGGTGCTGAACCGGTTCTAGTTGACCAGAACTTGAAACTTAGTTCTTTTAAGCCTAAAAATACTGTATGGTAAGCTTAAAATAATTACCAAGTATAAAATGTGTCCTAATCTGTTTAGAATCCTTCCTAATGCGTTGTTTTTACCTTCTTTTTTTTTTTTTTTTTTCAAAAGATCTTCATTCATGGTAACTTTGAACAACTTTCAAATTCCGTAGTCGCCATCGATCCGAATATAGTAACTTGAATTACAACTCGATTTGGACTTGTTTTGTTTACGATAATTGCCAATTACAAAATAATATCTCACAATCTCCCCTGTTGGCAATTTCGTGATAAAACCCTAAAAATAATTTAGTAATCTACCCAAAGTAGAAAAGTAAATTACAATCATATTCAAAGGTAAAAACACGGGATTATGTCTGGATTATCTTCTCATCTTGGATAACTGCTTGACCTAATTTACTGCACAACATCAAGCAAAAGTTACCAGTGAAGTTTAATAAATAAAATTTATAAAAACTCAAAAAATATTAATTTTTCTCCCCCTTAAGATCATATTGTTCTCCCCCTTTTTGGAACAAATTGTCAAAGCAAAAATAGCAGAGTATAGAGAAATAGAGAAATAGATAAACAGTTAAAACATGTCATTTAAAGCATTGAAGATAAGATCCAAAAATAATGACAATGATAACACAAAACATGATGTCATGATGCATGAATAATAACACAAAAAGTTAGCATCATTATCTTCTTAACCACCAAGTTCAGAAAAACAACAACTTCAATCTTCTCCACTTTCCTTTTCATCTTCCTCATCTTCATCCCCATCTGAAAAATCATTCCCATCATTATCTTCATCTTCAACTCTCATAGACGGATCTGGTGGTGCAAGCCTGTAAACATCCTCATCGGGAACCCCTGTCTGCTATCCTCTCATCTGATTCATCTGTAGTTTGAGATCTCTAACCTCAACCATCATCCTCTCAAACAAAGAAGTTTGATGCTGCCGAAGATGAGAATACATGATGTTTACATCAGCTCTTGTGAAATTTCCTTTTAGAGGAAATAACTGGTAATTTCTGGAGCTTGTGATGAACCCTCATCAACACCTCTCCTAGCCTTTCTTACATTCTCCCTAGCAGATTTTGATTTATTCAACTCACGAGGATCCAATTCAGTCATGATAGGCTAATGATACGCTTTAGGAGGAATCTGAATTTTCTTCAACTTGAAGATTTCCATGATAATCACCGGAAAAAGGAGAAGAATACTTATGCGAATTTTTCTTGTAATGAGCAATCATTCGCTGTACAATGGATGGTGCAAGCTGAATAGTCTCATTAACAATAAGAAAATAAAGAACTTGTGCTCGCTTATGATTAATCTCATCTTTCTTTCCAAAATAGCCAAGATTAGCTATGGCAAACAGATTGAAGAATGGCGCTT